TGAGGTACCTGACCTGAAACAGACAGGTCAGTGCCCAGGGCTAAAAGCTCTCACGCAGTTTTGAAAACTGAGTCAGAGGGCAGCCTCCACGAAAACTTCCAAGGATTTGGCACATGCATTTCTTACATCCTTTGAAAGTCTCAGTCATCAGCATTAGAAGTCTGGAAACAGACTGCAGACAAGAGTTCAGAGTTCTTCCTCCTCCAGAATTAAACGCTAATCTAAATCCCATTTTTTCTGTTCATCCTCTACTCCAGCATTACAAGGTTTTGATAAGTACAGGTTAATAAACACAGTGGTATTGCACTAAACACCCCTTTTGTGTGCATGATTGTAAATCAGCAAATATTCTTTGGGCAGAACACAATCATTGTACCTACCACTGGTTTTGTGTTGTCAAAAATACCAGACAATTCTTTAGATCTGGTTCAAGCATTTTAATGTTTCCTTGTCAATATTTTTTCCAATTTTCTCGTTACCAGCACTGAGAACATTGCCCAAAATAATCACAATCAATGAGATATCATCAATTTTTAGCCAAGTCTCTTGTTTTATTGTCCTTTCGATAACATTTGTTAGCATATTTCACAATAAGAAGTTCAGGAAAGCTAGGTGAGGTCACACTAGCCAGCACACCAGCAGCAAGAGTGCCGTTTGCATTTTTACCAAACGATCCTAAGCCATTACACACACAGCTTTTGGTAGGAGCAGTACACACCTACAGCAGCTGCACACCACTTTCATGAAAGAATATCTGAAGAATGTGAACCTGGTGGTACAAAGAGGGCACTGCTCCTCCAGGAGTGCAAGGGAAACCCAGTCATCAAATTTCACTGTACTCCACTTTAAGCTTAGAGCTTCCAGAACTTGTCACAGGTGTCAGACTTGAGACATTTTGTTCTTCCACCAGGAAAAAAAAAACAACACCCAAACCAAATCAAACACCATCCAGCTTTTCATTGTTTAACATACCTACTAGGTAAAGCTGAACTTTACCTAGTAGCTATGTAACTTTTATGTTTGCTTTGTTCTGCCTTTTTTCCCCCCTAACTTAAGCATTTACCCAGCAATGTCTTTACCTCACAAGATATCCACTGTCTCGTGAAAGTCTCCAACTGCTGAAGTGGCTGGAAAAAACACTGAGGGATTTAATCACTGTTCATGGAAAAATAATTTCTTGCCCAGACCAGGAAACGTATTTTGGTTTAATGCAGTAATTTCTTCTTACTTCATCATAGAGAAGAACAGATATGCAAATTAAAGTAATGGCAGCGCCTTTATAGCATCTTAGTCTTGCCTGGGACCAAAGCTGATCATAATAAAAATTTGAAGCAAGGTCTCCAAAAAGAGGTACAAAGTAAGTTTTCAAACAAAATTGAGATAAAATCCTTTCAGTTGAACATACATGTCTATGTATCTTTTTACTTCACAAAATAGCACGATGAAATGTAGTATTTATTCAAATACTAAATAAATACTCAGCTGGTACTCACAGAATTAGCACTACAAAGTAATGGACTTCTGCTTGACCACAACTGCAGGCTACCAGAAGCAGGAAGGGAGTGTGTTTAAGATGGAGGATTCTGTCTGAACATGGAAATTGGCAAGAGAAGTCTGGAAAACCAAAGGTGTGTTTCTGTAATGGCCAGTAAGACTGAGGGAAAATCATCACCTAGGTCAATCAGTTTCAGGAGACTAGAGAATCACTTTTGTCTACATAAGACTTTTAAAAGGCTCCTATCAAAAAAGTGTTATCTTCATTTTACTGGGACGTAAATCTAATTCCATATCTCTACTCTGTTGGGAGTTAATTTGATCCAATATGGTTGTTCTCATGTTGACATCCAGCAAGCCTGAGGCTCCACCACCCCGACCAAGTAACAGCATACACTGGCTGGTTCAAAAGTCTGATCTCTCCTCAGAAAGAATCCACAGTGTATCACTCATCACACTTGTCTATTCTCTCTGCCTGCTTTTTTATCCATTGCATCCTCAGAAACAGAACTTGGCAGAACTTAATCTTGGCAGAACTGCAAGATAAGGGAAAAGTCACAAGCCTAACAGTTCCCAGCTTCATTCCCCCTCCCTCTTCCCAGAGGGAGAGGCAATGTAGTAATGCATCGAGGGGCTTCCATGGTGCTTTTTTACCGAGTAGTGAGAAGCACCTTGCAACCAACAGCCCAGGGAAGCAGGCAGCCAGTAATCTATACATTTTCCCTTTTATCCAGGAATTTCCAGGCTGACCAAACAGTTGCCAAGTGATCTCCTCTTACCTGGCATTGAATCCATTATCCCAGCACGAATGTCCGTGTTCAGATTTCAGTAAAAGAAATGGCAGTAATCATTACAGCGCTCCTAAGTCTACTGGTATTTTACCAGGTGGAAAGCTTCCTTAAAAGACACAAGAAAGCCAGCCTACGAAATGGGTCATTATTTTTGAAGTCTCTGTCAGGAAGCCAACATTTCTCTTTACAGATTTTAACCTAGCTATCTCACATTTAGCTCAATACAGTGAATGGTCCAGATGCAAAAGGAGTCTGAATTCAGAAAGTAACTTGCACTTTCGCAGTCGATAAGGCAGACGAGTCCAGTAAGCAAAAGCTTATGTTCAAAAGAGTAGCAACCACATTACATACGCTCCTATCTGGGAAATCGGTCCTAGAAATCCCAGTTGAAACCCAAAATACCATTTTTTCTCATCCTCCCTGATCTACGAACTCTGGCCAAGTTTCCAACATTCACCACGATTCAGCCTAAAAAGAAAAGCAGAGTGGTATAATCAAATTGTAGATGCAGTCTAATTTTCTAGACCCATCTCCAAAGAGCAACCAAAACTATGGTTCTGAAGACCAGTTTAGCCCAGGCCAACACTGATTTTTGCCAGCATACACAAAGCTACTCATACATAATATCAGTACTTACCTACGATGCCTTCAATAAACCACGGATATTTCAGGCAGTTTAGAGTTTTACACTCCTCTCTTTAAGTCAATCCTCAGCCAACGTGGCTCGAAAAATGGAATGCTACTAAAAGCATTACCTCAGATAGGCAGGAGAAAGATCTTGACCCTTTCAGGCTATTAGAACTATGCTTTAAATAGGACATTCAGACCAAATCGGGCTAATTCTGACTTTTTTCCCCTCAGAGGGAAGCTTTCTATGCAGCTCCAGTTCCAAAACAGTTCCAGGACAGGAGCTGGGTAGAACCAATGTTAATAACATGTGCCATGGTCAATGCTGGCACTATCACAGTGATTGGCAAGATGATGTTCATATTCATTAACCTCTAGACAGCTACAACAGGGGCAAAAAAAATTTGCCTCCTAAAGAGATCACCTAGAAGCATGTCTGATTACCATCCCAGATTTAGTCCTTCACCGGGGTGGGAGGGGAAGAAAACATGCATCCTGAGCCTGGTAATAGAAGACAACCTTCCAGAATACTAAATTCCTCATCCTGACTGTGCCAGCACAGCCTTTGTTTTACATTATACCACATTATTTTTAGCAAATGACTGCTTGTTCTCATGCAGTGTCACACCACAAAATGAGAACCAATTAATTACCCTAATAAAAGACTTGCCTTCATTTTATGAGTAGTCATTTCTGTTCAAAGTACAAACTAGAAGCTATTTAACAATTAAGAACAAACATACCAAGTTATATTTGAAATAGTGCTATTCTGTGACTTTTTCTTAAATTAAAAAAAAAAAAAGCTATACTTTCCTAAAACAACTACCTCTAAAGTAAGGAAGTAATAAAAAAACAGAATTAAGATTCACAAAGTACTTTCAGAATACTAAGAGCCAAACAAACTCTTACTTTGGCTCCCTAAGAAAAGGGAACACATTGGCCAAGGTCACAAGTGGCAAACTGAGAAGTTACACTGCCTGCCCTTATCACATGCTCTACACTAAGGGGGGCAACCATATCCCTGTTAGCAGCCCTAAAAAAACCTACTGCACATGATATTTGCCTTCCAGGTTTTAAAAGATTATGAAAACTTTATTATTGACTACATATTAAACACAGCAATCTCTCAAGGAAGGGAATCTCTGTGGCAAGTTCATATTACAGGCAAATGTGAGTTTTAGAGGTCATGACAGAGAAGACCTATGAGACACATTATTACCACCCTGGAAAATAAGAGCAGTTTGTGTGCCTGTCCCATCTGCTTTTCCAGCCTTCCTAGGTCCCGTTGATATTGAGACCCTGGTACCTTTGTCACCCAGAAGCCTCTGTTCATATTAAAAATAGGATATTTGAAGCCAAGTAGCCAAAACATAGCTCGCTCGAACAAGAAGTCACCTTGTGCTGCCCCACACTGATAAGGGGAAGCAACTGAAGATGAGGAAAGAAAAATGCATGCCCTGGGAAAAGGCTTTTTATTTCACCGCTAGGCCCCGCGCCCACGGGTTCTCCGCCCCGCTTGGCCCGAGGCTCTGACCGCGGTCCCGGCCCAGCGCCGCGGGGTCTGTGCGAGCGAGGAGGCGGTGGCGGCGCCAAGGCCGCGTCCCCGCCGCTCCAGTCACCTTGCGCTCACCTTGACGGACGGCCGGGCCCAGCGGCGGGAGACACCCTGCCCCAGAGCCCGGGCAGCGGCCGCGCCACCGCCACCGCAGCCTCCCCACCATCGCCATGGAAACGGGGCGCGGGGCCGCGCAGGGGACACGCTGACCTACACGCGGAGACGGGGACGGCCCGGCCCAGCCCGGAGGCTGCAGGCGGCCCCACTCCCGGCCGCCTGGCGTGCAGTACCCTTGTCTCTGCCACGGCGTCCGCCGCCCGCCCCGCCCGGTGCCCTTCCCACCCGGCGCCGCCGCTCACCCTAAGCCGAGCCGCCAGCACGCAGTACGGCGCCATTTTGTTCACTGACAAAGATGAAGTCGCGCCGCGATGGCGTCACGCGGCCCCTTTTACGGCTCCGGCGCGCGCGCGGGGGCGGGATCGCACGGGTCCTGGCAGGGGCACACCCGTCTCAAAGGAGGAGGTCTCGGGCCGCAATGCGGGGCTCCCCCCGGCGGGGAGAGTCGGGCGACGCATCATCTCCCTGAGGAAGGGTTTATCTCGGCAACCCCCCCGCGTTTTTCAGCTCGGCGGCGGCGCTTTCTCAGACGCAGAACTCACCCCGGCCAGGACCCGGGGGTGGTGCGGCCATGAGCGCTTGGCGCGGCCGCAGCAGCAGCAGCGTCGGGGTGGCGTCGCCTCGCCATGGCCAAGCATCACCCAGACCTCATCTTCTGCCGCAAGCAGGCGGGCGTCGGTGGGTCCCGGGGCATGGGCACGGGATGGAGGGGTCCCCTGGCCCCTTTTCCCGCAGCGGAGCGAGTAGGAGGCGCGCGCGCGCGTGTGGGGCCCGTCAGCGGCCGTCGGGGGCGCGCGCGGCTGTTAGGCCTGAGCGGTGGGGGAGGGGAGAGGGGGCTCCTTCCCTCTTTTATTTTCCTTTTATTTCGCTGCCCTGCCTTGCGTTATGGGTCCACAGCATTTGGAGCATCCTTCTGGCTGCGAGATAAGTTATCTTCCAGGCTATATCTGAAATACAGGGAAGAAGATTTATCCATGTCGCATCTCGGTCAGAATTTGCCCAGTTGAGTCTTAAAGAACTCTTAAACAAGGTTAGAAGTTGAGGCATCCCTTCCAGGTTTTTTGTCACTCCTTGGAGTGCACATTTAAGAAGCAGCTTTTTGCGAGATCTGTAAACACAAAATATTTGGCTGCACTGTCCAGAGGAAACCTCCTTTTAGAACACGCAGTCCTTCTAACCTAATCTGTCTATGTTGAAAATTAATCTGACAAATCCCTTGTCTCTCAGACCTCAGCTGAATCACTGTTTAGTCTTTGTGAATGTGGGCATCTGGTCTTTGGAACTTGATATTTATGGCATTTATCCAAGCTCCTAACACCATGGCTGTGAGTTTCCTAGACAAGTGACAAAACTTCTAAGATACATTTAACTACTTTCATGTTCTGAAGTGAAGAAGGCTATTTTGGCTGCCTTAAGTAAACACTTGATTCTATTTTTTTTTCCTCTCATTTAAACCAGTGTAAAAGCTATGCCAAGGCTGCTGTACAGGATTTTCTTCAGTCAGGCACGTTGGCTGTGTTTGAAATGGAATAGTGAATGTAGGTTTTCCTACTGCCAATGGGTGTCATTGTGTGTTCACAGTGCATTGAAACTTTGATCTTGGTAAATGTCTCTAGGATGATATATACTGCTTATTGTAAATATGTTTGTATTTATGCTAAAACTGTTTCTATGGTTTACCTGATCACTGCAGAACATAATTATTTGACATTCAAGCTTTAGAGTTCCTTAGATTTTTCTCCTGCTTCTGCCTCAAATAATTTTTTTCTTCTTTTTCTTTCTTTTTTTTTTTAACAGCAATTGGAAGACTTTGTGAAAAATGTAAGTGCAGCTTCAACATGTAGTTGCCTGAGAGCATGGTGTCGTGGTTAGAACATGCAGTTTGGATTCAGAGGTTGGATTCTGTTTTTGCTTTAGCCACGAACTTGATGTCATTCTTTGAGGTGGGAACAATGCCTGCATGTTGCAAGTGAAACTCAAGGAATACTTAAAAAGTTATGAGCTCAAAACACAAATGCAGTTCTAGGGTATGTACTGCCAGCATTTCCAGCGGCTGAGGCTGTGGTGACTACTTGAATGGGTCCTTGTAATCTGTAATGCAAAAATATCAGCCTAATCATTTCAAAGCCTGGGGGAAAAATGGCTTCATCATACCTCGAGAAAGGTTCTTCCTTCTGTCTGTAGAAGAAAAAACGGAGAGAGAACCCCCAGAGTTAGAGCAGGGAAAAAAACCCCCCACAGAATCAAATGCCAGTGTTCAGCTGTAAAAGGGAAGAAAGATCTGTCGTTAGATCCTCGTAGGGGAACAAAAGAAATGAGGTCAGTAGCTTGTGACTCAAAAATAGTATGAAAATAAGTAAAGTGGGAGAAGGATGGTCTGAAGCAAAAGATCGTTTTCAAGAGTGCCTGGCAGTGAAACAGATTCCCACTGGTAATAGCTGAGGGCTGTCACGCTGGAGATTTCAGAGCAGGTTAGGTGAGCTGTTTGCGGGAGTCAGGATTAGATACCTTGGGAACTGGTAATAGGATATGAAGCCTTTCATCCGTAGGTCAGTGTTTTGGATAAGGCCCAGCACAGCAGAAACTGGCAGTGGCATGTGATGGCTCCTTGCCTGTATGATCTGAGTACTTGAATTTCACCCAGTTCCTTGTGAGAGAGCAAGAGCAACTTTGTGAAATGGCTGTTTATGCCAGTTTTCTTTGGCCTTCTCATGGATGAAGGATTAAAGGGAGCATGAGTACAGTCTCTTATCTCTTTGAGGACAATAACTCCATACTTTTGTTGATGTGGCACTGTGGGAGTAGTTTACACTGCTGCTTCTGTGTACGTAAGAATAGTAGTCCTGCCGGTACAGCATTTTTTTCGCAAGTGAAAAATTCAGGAAAAGTAGTAGCACGATCTAAGCAAGTGTTGGCTAATCACAAAGAAGTAACTTTGGGTTTCTTCTCTGATTGTGAATGTATGAATAAATTAAAAAAAGCTTCAAATGTGGCAGGCCACTGGCCCTCGTTCCCCTCAAGTCTTAGTGCAAATACAAGGTTGTGCCCTGTGCAAGGTAAATTTCTGCAGTTCATTTGTCTTATCTTTGAGTGTACAGGCAAGTTCTTTCACTAGGAAGCTTTTTCTCTTTGATGTGGGGATGGAGCAAAGGACGTTCTGTAACCAAAGGCTCTGCTGTGCTTGCAGGTGATGGCAAGTGTGTGATCTGTGACTCCTACGTGCGGCCCTGCACCCTGGTGCGCATCTGTGACGAGTGTAACTACGGCTCGTACCAAGGGCGCTGCGTGATCTGCGGGGGCCCAGGAGTGTCCGACGCCTACTACTGCAAGGAGTGCACCATCCAGGAAAAAGATGTACGTCGTCGTCCCAGTTTTGCTTAGTAGCCATGCTTACCTTTAGGGGGCTTAGAGCTGCTGAAATCAGCGTTGGGACGTGGGATGCTTGGCACCGATTTGCAGTACCTCATACCTTTCTTCCCGTGTTGACAGTTCCCCATGTTTGCAAAGCATTTTGAGATATTGTAGCATTTTGAGGTATCATAACTCTCTTTGTCCCTAAGGACCTCTGATTATTTTGCACACTCACAGTTGTTTCCTCCACACACTGCTTGTTACCACTTCAGGTTGTTACCTTACATCTCCAGCCTAGGTTTCACTAGGGTCAGAAATATTCCAGACACTGCACAGGCAGTGGCAAAAGCAGCTTCTCACTGCAAGTCCATTATCATCCACTGACCGAGAGGACATATGGTACTGGAATCAAAACCTTTGTTTTCCTTTGGATAGCAACATGAAGTTAGTCTTAAGTGTCCAGTGACTGCACTGGTAATTGTGTTTTACAAGTTTAATGCCTCTTGTATAATTTCAATGGCATACAATTTATATTTTCTTATTCTTTTTTGGAATGGTCTATACTGTAGACATCTCTCTGCTAACACTTTTTGGTGTAATGGTCCCTTTTGTCTATAGTCATTGCTATAATCTTTTTATAATCTTGTGCTGAAAGATAGGCACTGCACATGTGAAATGAGGCAGCTGTTCACCTCTTCTAAGGCTTTTGTTAATAATTCAACACAAGGAGTGCAGGACATGAAGAACTGCAATGAAGTGTTAGAAAGACCTCAGGGAAGAGCAAGAACATGACGTTTGCAGTTCCAATATTCCCAAAATATGGGCATGATAGCTGTTAAAGTGTCTGTTAAAGGTTGCTTGGGTTTTGGTGCTTTGCAAATGTCATTTCATACACACCCTAATGACAGATGTGCTGAGAGAATGGTTCAGATTGATTTACAGGAGTGTCCTCAGCTGACTGAGTTGCTGGTTTAATTCTCTGCAGTGTCTATGTATTCTCTAGAGGCCTTCAGATAAATCCAGGACAGGGGCAGGTCTTTATTTGAATTTAGTCATTAGATCTAACAGGAACATAATCTTTTTCCATACCTAAATATGGCTATGGGTGCTGGGATGGTGGTGCTGCCTCCTACTTTAGAAATGCAGTGAGAACCAGTAGTTTTCTTCACTTGCCTTTGGAACAAAGGCACCTGGCTTCATAAGTCATGAGTAAAATAGGCTTGGTTTTATTTTTATCAATTCATATGGATTTCCAACAAGTGTTTTTCGTAACCTAAGCTCACCTTTAGCTTATCATGTCTGGTCCAGGTGTGAAATAGCCAGCTGCTCTGCAAGGGAGGACTGTGGAAAACAGAGCTAGAGGAGAATTACAGGTCTGGGGTATTTTGACACCTGGATGAAGGTTGCTGTGAGCGAAGACAGTTGAAGTGTCTCAAGTGACCTCAAGTGTTAGGTATTGCTGCAGGATTGAGCATGATTGAGTTGCAGGATTGAAAAGTGTTGGCACAAGTGTAGGGTGCCCAGAAGGAGAAAAATTAAGTGTGCTGCTGCCTGTCACAATTATGGTATCTGGTGCTGATGTGAATAAGAAAAACACGGAAAGAGCTCTCTATCTGAAGCTTTTACAGTCCAAGCACTTCCATCATTCTCAGAGGAAGACTGAAAAAGATAGTGAAGCAAGAAAGCAAATACTAAAATGAAGGGAGGAGGTGGAGTGCTACTGGGCACCAGGCAAAGGGCCTGGTTACTCTCAATTCATTAGTTCTGGTGGAGGGAGGAGTGAAGAACTGCTTCGGTCTGCAGGTAAGGGCCAGAATCCCACCTTGTCATCCAGTAAAAGTAATCTTTTCTTGGGGACAGGAGCATACTCATGTGCTGCCTCCTTAGGAGGAGGTGGAAGAATGAACAGAGCCCTGCAATAACGCTGTCAAGATTGTCACAGACTCCCTGGATCGTGGGAGACAAGGCTTGGAAGAGTCCTACTATTGAGGTTCAAAATCAAATAAGGAGACGGTAGCTAGAAATGGGTTGTGGCAGGTGTATGGGGGAAGGATGATTTCTATTCATCACCTCTCCTGTTATTTCTACCATGCAGACCTTCCCCAGCAGATTATATCTCTGGCACAGGAGCTGGACAGCTTGGGTGCAGATTCTATAGCATTTGACATCTGCCCAGAGGCTTTCTAAATCTAATGCGCTCAGGCTTACACATCAGCCAAGGATACATGTTCCTCTGCCTGCTGGGCCCCTCACAGCTGCTGTGTCCAGCCACAACATTTTGCTTTTAAGAATTATGCAGATGCTGGGCTCAGGTGGCCCATGGACAAATGGTCCCTAGTACACCAAGAGGTGCATCTCTGATTCGTTTTTTCAACCACACCTCTGAGGTGGGTCTCCTCCACTCCCCTTGCTTTTCTTGTGGCATTTTTTCTCACAATCTACTGGAATTCAGGTACAGAAACTTATCTGTGTAGCTGCTGTGGGCAGCTGTCCTCTGATGACCATACAGCCTCTGCAGTAATTGATCCAGGAAATCTGAGATTCAGTTCTGCTGTCACAGCTGAGAGGGGCTCCTATACACAAGAATGGCTTGGTGACATCTAAAGCAGCAAGATTCTTTTTGACTAAGGAGGGGAAAGGTTATTCCTCTGGGCCCTGTAAATCCTGTGTATTCTAATTTAGAAAGAAATCAGTCTTGAGGCACTGAGCATCCTTTTCATTAAACTGCTGATGTTATATGAGCTGTTTTCCGTCTCAGCCCTGAGGAAAAGTCCTAGAGTAATCCTGAAAAGGCATCCATGCTCTTCTCTGTTCCGCTGTCTTACTGGTAGCCAGCACTGGAGGGCAGTTTGTCTGCCCAGGTGTTCAAAATATGTGTTGAGGACAGGGCGAGGAGCGTGGGAACCGAGAACCTACTAGAACTATGCAAACGATGACATTGTTCTGTGTTTGCCCCTCTCCTAACCTACATCTTCTCTTCTTACAGAGAGATGGTTGCCCTAAGATCGTCAACCTGGGCAGTTCCAAGACAGATCTTTTCTATGAAAGGAAAAAATACGGCTTCAAGAAGAGGTGATCCTATCTGTACATGGCTGTACCTCCTGCCAGGTTGGCAAGAGGGTCTTGGAACATCGCTGGACTTTACTATTATTGAAAACCGGTTGATTATGTTTTTCTAAAGCAGTACAGATTCAGTAATATACTTGGGGCTGGAGAAGTAACGGGCTGGAAAAGTAACAGACTGAATGACGACTGAAATTTGATCAGAACTAATGATAAGCAAGAGCAGATGAGGATTACTGTCTCTTGCCTTTGCAGAAGCTCTGCAAGTAGTTGCTTCAGCTTTCTATACAAAGCCTGGTGGGCAAGCACTTACGCATGGAGGAGACTAGCTCGGTAAAAAGCAAGTGTCGTTTCAGATGTGGAGAAAGACTTTGTGGTTGTTCTTACCAGGCTATTTGAAATTGCCCCATGCATCAGTGTTGAAGAACAGAGCACCAATCCCATGTGTCTGCTCCCCTCCTCCATTCCTTCAGTATATTTCCATGCTGCCCTGTTTTGTAAGGAACCTGCTCATGGCTGGTGCCTTCCTAGAGAGAGCACAGCTGTTCCATGTTTTCTTTGTCAGATTAATCCAAGGCCCCTTCTTGCAACCATTTCTGTAGGATGCATACCAATAAAGCTTTTCGTTTGGGTTTTTATTTTTTGTACAACAAAGATTTCTCTCTGGTTCATTCTGTGCCTAGCCTCTCTGGAGCTTTCTGGGGACATGCAGGATTAGCCCAGCTAGCCCTGCACAATGGGTTATCTGGTTTCTGACAGTGTCTGCTTATGGCCACGTGACCTTGCTGCAAGGAGCTTCAGGGAACGGCTATCGCTTTTGTCTGCCTGTGATCCCGGCCACTGATCATTTTGTCCCGTAGCGTGAGGATCGCTGAGCTGGTAACCCTTATCCTAGCTAATACAGCTGTGGATGTTGTTTCACCATGCAAACATCCAATCCTTTCTAAAACCTACTAAGCTATTTGACTCGCTATCCTGTTCTTGTGAATAAGTTAAAGCCTTCCCTGCTGTAATGGGAAACCAACTATTGTGTTCTGGGCTATTGGCCGTGTGCATGCTGGAAACCAGAGGCTGCTTGTTTGTCAAATACCAGTACAGGCTAAAAGCAGTCTGTTGGCTCAGCAGAGATCTGGAAATGGGCGCCTTTGTGCAGAAGCGGAACTGAGCTCCCTATGGGTGCATACACTCCTCAGATGGTTAAATTAGGGTCACAGCTCCGTGTGCCCTGTAGTCTTTAAAGTCCTCCTAGTCTGAGCAGAGCGTGTGCTACAGTAACAGGGTTGTCTTTGCATGGTCTTGGGGTATGGAGCTTGTTCTGTGCCTCTTCCAGCTGTTCCCCTGAGGCTAGTAGCAATTCCTTTAACTCCTCTCTGGCTTAAATGCCTCTTCTCCTACTCTAACTATTTAGGTGTTTTGTGTAAGAGTGAAAACAAGCAGATAAATTGTGATCATCCTTCCCTTAAAAGTCATTTTTCCCTGCTGCAGCTGGCTTTAGCTATGACTGGCCTTGCAGCTATCTCAGCCACTCCTCCCTCTCCTGCCCCCAGCTATTAATTCTGTCAGGTTTCTCTTCCAAGCTTTTTGCAGTCCTGAGAGTATCTGTATGTCTTCTTCCCTGCACCATGGTTCCCCTACACAGCTTCTTGTTAAGTTTTTACTAATGTGGATGCCATTTGCCAAGAGATTCAGAGAAATCTGGCTCTTTGGTTACAGCAAACCCACTCTCTTAGAGTAGTTCTACCTGAATAAGCAATTGCCTCTTGCTCCAGACTGGGAAGTCCATGTCAGAGCCATTATCAGCCATGTTAAATTCTGTATTTCTTTAAAAGCAGAGCATGACATGCAGATTTTTTGTACCTGGAACTTTATCACTTCAACCAGAATTTATCACTTGCCCTCAGTCAGGCCACCCAAGTTATCACACTAGGAATGTGGGTTTGTACATGGTTTTTTTTCTTCCCTGGAAGTTTCAGATGACAAAAGTTTTTTGGTGAAGGTAGAGAGAAATGAAGTTAGGAATTATTTTTTTGTCTCAGAAGTATCGTCCCCTGGTGCAGGGACCCCTAGAAGAGCTAATTTTAGAGCAGTCCTTGTTCCTAATCATTTAGCAGGATCAGCCAGGCAGGGGTTGCTATAGAGATACAAGTTTCCCCATCCCTTCCCCCATCCCCAAAACCGGCTAAGCATACTTACTTTCTTGGCACTCCTGATGCCCTCACGCTGACTGCTGGATATATCGGTCTGCGTTCTGAGAGTTAAGCTGCCATTTCTAGTTGTTCTGAGTCACTGGGCAGGTGGAGAGAGGGAGGGACAGGCTTTTTCCCCTCTGCCTTGTTTGCTCAGACAGCTCTGGGGAGAATGCCAAGTGCTGCTGGTGCTCAGATCAGTTCAGCACCGTTGCTTTTCTGGTACTTTCAGAGCATGGATGGGACCTTGCCCTGAAGCTGCTAATTCAGACAATAGTAATGGATACATTTCAGTAGCCCTGAAAAACAGCCTTGCTTGCTTGGTAATGGTTTATGTTCACCAGTAAATGATACCCAGGCAGGGCACCTAGAAAAATGCAATATTTTTTTACCTAAATAGATTTTAAAGTACTTGGCCAGGAGAAAGAGATTGCCTTGCAGTACTAGAGACCAGAGCACATGCTAAAAGGGCAAGCTTCCCCTCAGGGGGGATATGAGACAAGACAGATCCTGCTGTGTGCAGGCCAAGCTCTGGAAGGACTTCATCAGGCCACGGAGCCTTAAGCTGCCAGATTCAGGGGCTCCCTGGCTGCCAGCTGCGAAGCACTTGCATGGCAACTGCAGGGAAGGGTGGGAGGAAGAGGGACCACTTCGTCAATGTGGCAGCTGAACTCCTGCGGTGCTGCTGTTCTGGATTCCTTTCCCCATCCACGGCGTGGGGCTGGCCCAGTTCTAGTTCCTTCTCCATCTGAAGAACCATTGCGATGCTTTGAGGGATGGGGAAAGGAAACTCCAGGGGTATCCCAGGGCTTTTTCAGGCCCTGAGCCTGGA